AGGATCATAGCCAGCACCTTTCTCCAACTCCCATTGGAGTCCAGCCAGGGCAACTTAATGGTTAGTGAGACCCTGTCTCAAAATAAAATAAAAAGGGGTGGGAATGCAGCTCACTGTGAAGCCTTTAGGTTGAATGGGTTTGGGTTCCATCTGGGTTCAATGTCCCCCCACCCCCATACAACAGGAAAAGGAAGAAAATTTTATTCTGTGCCACCAGTGATCTTTCTTTTTATTTCTTTTCTTTTCTTTCTTCCTTTCTTTTTTTTTGCATTACTAGGGATTGAATACAGGAAGTGCTGTTGCTTGGCTATATCCCTAGCCCTATAATTATTTTTTTCTGTGAGGCAGGGTCTCATTAAGTCACTAAGTTGCCCAGGCTGGGCTCAAGCTTGCAGTCATCCTGCCTCAAACTTCCAGAGTGCTGGAATTAGAAGCATGCAACATCTAGCTCTGTCAGTGATTCTTAACCCAGCTACACACCTGAGGGTAACTTCACTGGGAGCAGGAGAGGAGGATTTTAAAAATTAGTACTTCTAATTTTTACTTCTTTATTAGTACTTCTTTCTTTCATACCCCAAACCAACTAAATCAAAATCTCTGGAAAATGGGGCCTGGAGTGTGTGCGTGCATGTGTGTGTGTGTGTCCCATATGAGACCAGAGCTGAAAATGAATTGACCAAACTGATGAGTTAGCTAAACAGGAGAAACCAATTCCTTCTTCCTTCTAGTTACTTAGCTGTAAAGCCTTGGATCCATCTTTCTAATACTAAATTAATTCACAAAACCTTTACATTAAAAACCTCTCTCCTAGGTATTTAAATTTAAATACTACAGGACACTTAAGATGTGATACTTTGCAGAAGTATTTTCTTATCTTAGGCTGAGAATGTGGCTCAGTGGTAAAACACTTCCCTAGAACATATGAGGCCATGGATTTAATTTCCAGTACTGCAAACAAATAAATAAATTTAAAGCTATGTCTTTTCTGAATTTTTTTCTCTTGTCATACCAACTCTAATGCCTGGTTATGCTTCTGGTAGCCTAGCTTAAAAAGTTAGTAATGGGACTAGGTGTGAGAGTTCATGCCTATAATCCCAGCTTCTTGAAGCTGAGCCAGGAGGACCGCAGGTTTGAGAACAGCTGGGGAACTCAGCAAGATCCTGTCTCAAAATAAGAAGAGCTAGGGATGTAGATTAGCCTTAACTGAGTTCACTCCCCGGTATCAAAAAAAAAAAAGGTCAGCAATGGGGTTCAGTGAGAACACTCTCTCAAAATATGGTCTTGGCATAATGAACATTTTAAGCTGAAAGAATTTGAGAACAATCACATAAGAAGGAAGATTTCTCTCTGAGCTCCCTGAAGTGGGTCATAAAACCTAGGGAGGTTAACCTTCCCCTGAAGCAGATCATTAGCCCCTCATGCCAGAAGTACCCTCTCCATACCTAAAAGAAAGGAGCATTTTTATCTCTAAGACATCTTCCTGATGAGGCTTTGGAAAATTCTTTAGGAGGCTATTCCTCAATCTACTTAGTTCTCTTTTGCCTAATACAGATTTTCTTCCTCCTCTGGGCTAGAAAGAGCTTTTAATGAAGCTTCCTCACTCCTAGTAGCCTAGTTTTAAAGGAGTAAATTTTTTAAACATAAAAATTTTCTAATGCTCATTTCTTCTTTTTCACTTTTAACAACCACTGGGTTCTCATAAGAAATGTGTTTTAGCAATCTTAGAGGCACTGGGGAATTAATTATTGAGGAAATTTGTATGAAGCTATAGTCTTCTTTCCACTTCAAGAACCTTATTTCTTCTATAAGCCTTAAGATCTGAGATGGTATGCTCTAATGAAGAACAACCTCATCTAACAAGAACTGATGACTGAACCTAGTGCTGCCTTGTGGTTGTGAAACTGAGGTGTAGATGAAAGCACATGAGTTTTAGATTCAGAACGCAGAGTTCAAGTTTTCTGTCACAATTACCTACTTATTGCATATTTTAATTGATTCTCAATCTCATTTCCTTTAGAATCATATTTACTCCCATAGAGTTGTTGAGAAAATTAAATTTTATAATGACAGGGTTCAGGACATGGTATCCCAATACATACCCCTGTGGCATACTCAATATTTTAAGCTAAACTAATTTGAAAAGACCTCAGAATTTGGAAGGTTTCTCTGACTTTCCCACATTCTTCTCTGAAGCAGGTCATAAGATCGTCATATGAGAGATGCCTTCTCTATAACCAGAGGAAAGAAGCATTCTTCCCTATGAAGACATAGGGACACAAAAAGTAATATGAACAGAGGCCTTGCTAAGTCTCTCCCAGATTATTGCCATTTGATTGATTATACTTTTGGGGGAGCAGTACAAGGGGTCAAAACCAGAGCCTTCCACATGTTGGGCAAGTGCTTTAACACTGAGCTACACCTCCAGCCCTAGATCATATACTTTTGCCCTATGTTTGTGCACAACTTTCCATTCTACATTAAAAAACTATATAAAACTTTTTTTAAAACTCACTGTTAACTGTTTTTTAGGTCTTCCTTTCCTTAAGTCTTGCCAGTAACATAAGATTTGTATTAAATTAAATTTGTATGCTTTTCACTAGTTCTCCTTCGATTTCTTTTTCAGACCAAGCCAGGGACCCTAAGAGTGTTTTTCCTTTCCTACAGTTTTTTATTACTGTACCTGGAGGGTCAGCTGAGACACCTCACTTACTCCAGTAGTGCAGCTCCTGGATAAAATAACAAAAGCCAGTGAAAGGTAAGAATTCTTACCAAAGTCAGCTGCTCCTAGATCTCTGTTTATAGGCACTATGGGGGCCCTATAGGGCCCTTCTTTTCAAATTCAGATTAGTAGGAGAAAAACATTTGATTGGATTGTTACTAACCTAGGATAGGTGTTATGGTTTGTGTCTAGATGTCCCCCCAAAGCCTCATGTGGTCATAAACTGTTCTGGAGGTTGCTGAACCTAGAGTGTGTGATGCTAGGATTAAGGGCGTGTGATTACTAAACCATTACACACCAGTGATTGGTTTGACACTGCCCTAATCCAAGTAGTCTGAATAAGATAAAAGGGGCAGAAAGACACTCTTAAGGTCTCCTTTGATGCTTTTGCTGCTTCTGCTGCCATGAACTGTTATTCCTCTGCCACCCTGCCTTGTAGCCAGCTGATTATAGACGAAAACCTTTGCAAACTGTAAGCCAAATAAACTCTTTCCTCTCTAACTTAGGGTGTGGAGTATTTTGTCTCAGCAACTAGAGAAAAGTTAACTAACACAATGGGTAGAAGAGAAGATGTTTTTCCTCCCATATAATAATATACATAAAAGTGTCTAACATAGGACTTGGCACACAGGGAGATATTCAAAGGAGAAGCAACTGGGTCCTGACATCTGAGAGTTAATCAAGGGCATGGGCTATTGACTCGTGAGAACAGAAAATATTATACAAACCTCACACTTTTATTCTCTTGTTTATATCTCTAATTGGTTGTGTACATTCTCTAACATGGTGGCTTTCAATACTGGCTAAACAATTATAACTTAAGGAATTTTATAATAACATTGAAGGAATGGGTACACTTGTGAATTAAATGAGAATCTTCAGAAGAGGCAGGGAAAGATAATTTTTTTTTTTTTTTTTTTTTGGTACCGGTGATCAAACTCGGGTCCTTGCGCTTGCGCAGCAGGCGGCGAAACCACTGAGCTAAATCCCTGGCCCAGGGAAAGATAATTTTTAAAGTTTCCCCGGTGATTGTAATGTGTAAGTCAGTATTGAGGATCAGTGAAATAAATGTTTAAGGGAAGATGTCATATAACTTTAAGAATGATTGTCTAATCATTAGCAAAAAAGCCTGCCACCAACAGGGAATAAATATTTGCAATGCACAAACTGGATAAAGGACTTATATCCAGAATTTACAAAGAACTCTTTTGGCTCAGGAGTAAACAACTCACTTAAAAAGTGAGTCTAAGATATGAACAAATAATTCACCAAGGAAGATATATGAATGACTAAAAAGTACATAAAAAGATGCTAGTATAATTTTCATTAGGGAAATGTAAATTGAAACAACCTTTCATGCATACTAGAATGGCTGTAATAAATAAGACAAATAATAATAAATGCTGATAAGGATATGGAGAAATAGGAACCTTCATACATGGCTGGTGGGAATGTAATATAGAAAATAGTTAATTTCTCAAAAAGTTAAATTACCATATATCTCAGCAACTCTATTCCTAGAAATCTAACCAAGAAAAATGAAATTATATTCACACAAAAAACTTATAAATATTCATAGTATTATTTATAATAGCCCCAAACTGGAAAAACACTAAATGTCCATCAACTGGTAAATGGTTAGGCAAAAGTGGTCTATCCATACAATGGAACATTGTTTGGCAACAAAAAGGAGAACACTATTTTCATGCTATGATATGGATGAACATTAAAAGCTTATGAAAGAAGCCAGAGAGAGAACACACATTGTAAGTTTCCATTATATGAAAAGGAGTCAAATCTATAGAGACAGAAAAACTAGTTATTACTTGGGTTGGGAGTGAAAATGGGCATTAAATAGAAATGACCATAGGGAATTTTACTGTGGTGATAAAAATGTTCTAAAATTGATTTGGGTGATGTTTTTACTACCTAATAAATTTACTAAAAATTTAGTGTACATGTGCATATGGTGAATTTTATAAAATATACTTCAGCTGTTTTTTAACTCATTTTTTGAAAGGTGCTGCCTTTGGGGAATGGGTCTCCGAAGGTAACTGCTACTTTACCTGATCATGCAGCTCCCCCAAGATCTCTTTCTACATTAAGAAAAACATTGGTGGATTTAAGCAATTTGTTTTATGCTACTGTCTCATCTCCTTCTTTCCTGCCCAATTTCAAATGAAGAGGAGAAAAAATGGGGAGATTTAGTAAATACCATTTGAGTTATTCTTTGGAAAAATTGAAAAGTAGATACTTGTGTGTGGATGCCTCAGGGACTGACCTTTCTATGCTGTTGTATTTCCCAATGCCTCTCACCTCTCCTATCTTCTCGGACCCTTCTAAGAGTTGCACCCAGGTCTCTAGGGCAATGATTTGCAATGCTTCTGAAATTTATTTATCTATAAAATAAATATGAAAATCAGTGTAAACTCTTGCTCATTTTTAAACCAGAGAAGACAAAATTATTTTCATAATAAAGCCACTTCCATTAACCTACTCCTGAGGTAATAGCCTAAATCCATTCAGGAGAGAGTAGTGTCCTTATGACTAGCCCCATTGTGGTGTTTTACAGTACTGGGGATCAAACCCAGATGTCTGCCCTACCATTGAGCCACACTGCTGGCCTTTTAAAATTTTATTATTATTTTTTTAATTTTGAGAGAGGGTCTCACTCAGTTGCCCAGGCTGGCCTCAAACTTGCATCCTCCTGCCTCAGCTTCCCAGATAGCTGGGATTACAGGTGTGGGCCACTGTACCAGCTCCTAATCACTACTTAAAAGTTCTGTTCTCAATGCAATCCCACTGACAATTAAATTTCAACATGCATTTTAGAGGGGGACATTTGAAATGAGGTAGGATGGAAAGATAAAACATAGATAAAAAGGAGGCAAGAACATTATAATTTTGAGAAAACTGCAGCTTTAAGACATAATAAGATTTATCTAAAGTTATAATATCTTTATACCCCTAGGCCTGTTTCATTTCCAGGCTCCTCACTTTTGAATCCCTAAAGGCCTTAAACATACTATAAATCTATAAATTGGGCCTATGTTTTTCTTCCAATTCTATAAATCTACATATTCCACACTCCTTTTTCCTCAAAGAAATAACACTATTAATTGGATACTATGTCTCTAAACTTTAAACCCATGCAAATATTTTCTATTTTAACTTTGTTCATAATGTCAGTTTTTACTACTAATGGGTAACCTAACAGACACTAAGTAAATGCTAAGTAACTCAAAAGATGAATACCATAGGACCTAGTTCATGCATATTGAGGCTATCCCAAGGCTATCCCAAAACTATACCTCATGGTTCAAGTTCCTGTACTTCTTTGATTGTGCCTAATAAATGCATCTCACTAATGTGTCTCAAAGATGTCTTTCTGCAATGTTAAGTCAAGAACCTACCTGTAGCTAGCTGAGGTCCACATATCCTCTTTGGGGGGGAACTCCTCAGACAGTAACAAAATCATAGCAAGGCCATTACTGATATTATCTTTGGCTACCTCTTAGATTTCCACTATACTTTGCCTTTTGTCTTTACTTGACTGCCTCCCCATAGGAGCATAATCAGCATATCCTGCTCACTCACTGTACTCATTCTGTTCAAGTGCCACCTTATCAAAATGCTCCAGTTCTTAACCCATATACTCTACTTTCTAGAACAGCCTACTGAGAAGAAGACATTTTGACAATTTTATTCAGTACTATATCTTAGAGGTATTTGATTGGGGGTAGATGCTCAAAACTATTTGTTGAATGAATGAACATATGGTAATCTGAAATGGATGTAGGTGAGTTACTACATCAAATAGTGATGCAGACCTAAAATGGTGCAAGTTGCATAGGCAAACTTAATCCTCACAAATATGTTTTACCCTGGTTTGTTAACAAAAAGATTTAAGGAAAAAAAAATAAAGTGAGTAATCCACCTGGGAATTGTGAAGGCATTTGTGTGTGAAATTAAATTACTGTTGGCTAGAGTGTTGGCATTATCTGTGATAGCTGAGGACACACCGAAGCCAGTTTCAGAGGATCATGGTGTATTGAAAAAGAGGCACCTGTGAGCTGGCTGGAGCAGAACCAACAGTGATTGTCACTTACTGGCTGTGTGTTAATGGGTCTTCACTCATAGGGTTTCATCAACCAACAAAAAGGCCTGTGGGGTGGGCTTTATCATGGATAGGGAAAATGATGCTCAGAGAGGTAATTTGCCTTAACTTTAACTTTCTTACACAACTAAACTAATGGGTTTCATAAGCAGTAAGACTGCCAGATAGAAAAACAATATATCGGTGGTGTTTTGGAAAATAAAATTATTCCTGTTATTGAAATTCTTCAAAGGAGAAAATGTAGGTTAAGGAAAGTAAGAGGTAATATTACAAATCTTCTAAAAATTTACTATGGAAATACAACAGGGAAGGGAGTGGAGATTTGTCTGTGATGGCTAATCTTGATTTTCAAATTGAATGGATGTGTGAGTGAGGGTGTTTCCATGACGAAGAGAACTGCCTTGATTGTGAACAGCACCATGCTAAAGGGTGGGGACCTGGATGCAACAAAAGTGGAAGAAAGAAGTCCCCCAGCAATGCTCTCTCACTCTGCTTACTGACTGCCATGAAGTGACCAGCTTTCCTTTGCTGTGCCCTCCCATAATGACTTTTTCCCCCCCTTGGAGACAGCTGAACATGGACTAAAAACTTTGAAACTGTTAGTCAAAAGAAACTTTCCTTGATTAAGTTGCTTATCTCAGTTATTCTGTCACATCAGTGAAAACCTAACACAGTCAAAAATTGAAAGTTGCCCTGGAGAAGAACTAAATGGAAAAGATAAATGGGAAGTTTGAAGGGTTGATTTCTTAATAACCAGTGTTATAATCAGTCTTATTTAGCACATTTATAAATGGTGTAGAGGAGATTTTATCAGAGAGTTACTGATTAAAATAGACTTTTCCTTTGTGTAGTAAGGAGGATTTAAGAAAAGAGGTTTCAGTCACTGAGTTGCTGATGAATCCCATCTTTACCTGTGGGACTTAGAATAGCTGACTTTGAGCCAATTAAATGTGCTATTACCATCCAGATAAGGAAAAAGAACCTTGGAGGTAGGAGTAAGAGAGATGGGGGTAGTGGAAGAAGTAATTGAAGGTGGAATCAAAATGGAAACTTGGAAAATAGGGTCAGAATGAGTTTTGGGTTAAGAAAATTACTGATTCACTGAAGAAATCCTCACACTACCACTAACATGAAAAGAAAACCTTTTTACTATACTTTTTTCGGTGCTTTTGTAAAAGTGTGGTATTGATATACACAGAATATTGTGTATAGTGGACCCTCAAGTTACAACCTGCCTGACATCAAACAACTTGAGCTATTTAGGTTAACAGAAGATTAATTTGCTTCTTGTCGTCTATAGTGTGTATCCAGGTAAACATCCAGATCTCAGACTCAGCTGTATTGACTTACAACCAACTTGAGTTACAACCAGCCCTTGGGAATGGATCGAGTTGCTGAGTCAAGAGTCCATTGTCTTTTTTTTTTTTGGATTGTTATTTGTGAAAAATGGGATTGTTGAAGGGCAGCTAAATTTATTGTAGGGATGTGATTAAGAGATTGCTACCTATAAGGGTTGAGAATATGAAAGCACTAGTCTGAGGAGATGGGAATGCAGGACATGTGAGGATTTAAAGTGACATGTCTGGTAATTTTTGCCAGTCAAGATCTGCTAGAATTTTTATATCTATTGCTGGGTCCCTGGCTGTATTAAAAACTTTACATAACCTAGATTCAAACTGTCTTTCCAAAATCATTCCTCATTTCAGCTTCAGACCACTACAACATGGCATTCAAGTGCACCTAGTTAACAAAGATTAATTGTTGTCATTATCATTATATTCCTTAAAAAAAGGATTAGCTGCTCAATTTTGTGACATGTTTCCAAAAGATCTCTTGTTTCTCTCAACAGCTTAACTTGATCTTTTTTTCTGTCTTCCCAAAGCACCCTTATTACTCCTTTCCTCAGTATTCCCTTTATTCTGCTTCTTTTTTGAGTTGTCTTCCTCTCCTTAACCCACTCTTCATGATTATTATCAAGTAAGGGAATCTTGTTATATTCAGCTTCAAGATTTCTACTAGATTTACAGAAAGAGTAAACTGATTTTTAATTTTTCTATGATGTAACTGATTTCCTATAAGATTTTAGGAAAGGATTTCATGGGAGGCAGTGAATATTGCAATTATGACTTCCTGGCACAACCAGTGAGGGGCATCAATTTCTGTCAGAGGAAAATGATTGTAAAATGCTAAAAATGTATGGTTATGTTTTGATATAAAGTACTTTTGATACTTCCTGAATATGTTCTTAAAAATACAGCATGGAGAAAGGCAAGAGAGAGAAGAAAAGGAATTCTAGTTGTTTGAACATAATAGAGAATACGAATAGAGGTTAAAAAGATTGATAGCATTCAGGACAAACACTAACCCTAAAATATGGAATCCTGGCATTTGGGAAAACAGCAGAAAAATAAAAATCACTCTCACTTTCTCCACACCCTTGTCCACTGAAGCAGGATGAATTTATCTGCCCATTCCCTAAAGTCATAAGACTCTCATGTAACAAGGACTTACAGGCAGCTTTTGCTAAAAAGTACTGACTTCACCTGGGTCTGCAAATGCCAAGTAGGTAACTAAAAGCAGGATAAAACCTTAGCATTTCTATCTTTATTTTGACTTGCCCTTTCTCTAAGTCATTTTCCACTGCGGCTACCTGGGATTCCAGGAACAACAGATGTGATGTATAAACATCTTGTGAGGAGAACTGAAACTACTCACTAGGCAACAGAAACTTTCTTATTACTGCTGCTCCTGATAATGATCAAGCAGACCACACTTTGATCAAAACTGTTTAATTACTGATACTTATTGCCCCCCTCACCTTTGCTCGTGTAATCTTGGAGCTCCTGTCCCCCCTTTCCTGAGCTAATGACACTTGTCCCCTTGTCTCCATAGTACATATAGCTATACTTACTAAAGTTCCTTTTGTCAATACTTTTTCTGTTGGTTTTTGGGGGTGAGTAGTCAGAACTGATTTGTTGGAACACTCAGAATCAAGTTCTAGCCTAGGACTCTGGCAAAAATATAAGTGATTCCCTCCACATGCGGAAATAAAAAGAAAAATTATGATGAAGATAATACGATGAAGCTAAAACATGCAGAACAGATTATGCCTAGAGACTCAAGATGTGTATCAACAGGTTGTCAGACTTTTGTATGGATATTTTTACTGAGTATATATACATTCTTTTGTAGCCTCTGACACATAGCAACTATTTTCAACTCTTCCCTACAAAATAATTATTATTGCTGTATAATAAGCATTGTGTTGGGGATAGTGGCACA